CAATTAATATCACAAAATAATATATGTAATATTTACATAAATATTATATTATTAAATATATAATTTAAAATTAATAATATACTATAAAAGTTATTTAAGTTGTATATATTGCAAACAAATATATTAGAACAAGTAGTCATTGTTATATTTAATAAGACTCCTTGCTTTTCCATTAAGAGATTCAATTTTCATTATTATTTTTTGTGGTTTATGGTCCCTTAAAAAAATTAAAAAAAAAAGAAAAATAGTGGTTGAACCGGTTTGACCCACCGGTTCACCGGTTGAACCGGAAAATTGACCGGTTCAATCCGGTTTAAAACGAGTCGACTGCATAACTGATCCAACTTAAGATTCGGAACGGCTGGATCACTGTTTCCCGGTCTGACCGGTCCGACCGGCCGATTCGGTCCGATTTTTAAATCACTGGATGAGAGGGTTAAAATATAACCCTTAGATTAATTAAGTGAGAGAAAATTTGAGATTTAATCAAGTGAGAGAAAATTAATCTAAGGGTTATATTTTAACCCTCTCATCCTCTCATAATAAATTCCTCTCATTTGATATGCTCCCTATATATATATATATATATAATCTTTTCAAATACGATACAATGTTCTTATAGTTATCGTTTTTCAAATAAGTGCATTCATTTCGTAGGTTGTCATGTATATATAAGACATATTAAGTGAAAATTATTCTTATTGTGAAAAACGAAAAACATAAATTTTGATACATAAATGGTCAAACATTTAATACACAGATGGTCAAACATAAAAATTAGTTAGTGGCTCACATAACCACTTAAAAAGTCAAGTTTAATTTTCTCTTAAATATGATCTAGTGACTTATATTTATTTATATTTTTTTTATCCATAATGATCTGTATTTGAGAAGTGTTAGTAAAACCTTTTTAAACACGTTACAAATATTTATTAAAAAATATATACAAAATCAGGATAAAGAAATTTATTAAAAAAGAAATTAGTAAGTCCACAATATCTATGTTTTTCTTAATAAATATTGACTAATTAATTGTCTAGAGTTTATTTTAAAGGATTTGTTAGATAGTATATTATTAATTAGAGATAGTACAAACAATATGTCAGTACAATAAATTACACTATTAACCAATAATTATAAATTTTACAGTACATTATTTTTTCCCTCTAAAATAACTTAATTAACAAAAGAGATACATAATTATGAGCATAATAAAAAATGTTTTAAATTATAATAGAAAACTCTTGTATCTAATAATTTAAATTAAATATGTTTTACAATAAACATAACTTAGAAGAAACAAATGATATCAATATAAACATGATGTAATATTATTATATTATATTTTTAATGTCTACGTACATATAATATTAAATTTTACATACCTGAATTGTCATGTATGTATGATATGCTGCTGTTCAAATTTCCAAGCCAAATTTTCTTATCAAATGTTATATAAATTGATCTCAGCAACGGTGTGTTGAGATTACCTCTTGAAAATGTCTTCATATTTGGAATATTATTTACCCGCACTGTTTGTAAGTTAGGCCAATTGAATGTTGCATTTTGTCTATAGAAACTGACCAACTTTGGAAGATTTTTAAGTACAAGACACTCCATTGTAGGAAAAATGACATTTTCATCTTTATCACCACTAGATATCACCTCTTCTATTTTCTCACAATTATACAATTTGAGTAATTTGAGTTTCCCAAGATTTTTGATAGAAGAAATTGAGAATAAACTTTTGAGGCTACCACAATAGAAAATGTAAAGTGACGCCAAATTTGAGAAAAATGGAACTTTAGGTTCTTTGTTCCATACATATGTCAAATT